CACTATGAGACCCCGGATGCCATTAGGTGTTGTGACCGAGTATACTGGGCATAATGAGAGTGGAGAGGAGGATGGGGTCCTGCAAGCACCTCCCCTAGAAATGCAGCAAATCTTTACACCGTTTTTTGTCGGTGCCGGAACCGGAGACGCGCGAGACTCTGACGGTGACACGTGCCTCTCTCTCTCAACACCCCCGAGCCCCCGTGTACCGCATTGGCATCAGCGACTGCCACCGAAACGCAGGAGTCGACGCCGTGCCACGGATACAGAGAACGGAGAAGCCGCGCAAAACCGCGAGCGCTCTCCTTTACGCACCGGACATTAAACGCACTCAGCGCGCATCAGAGTCCGGCCAGAGAAAAGAGAGAGAGAGGAGCGGGCGAAGAGGATGCAGGTGCCAGGCATCATCTACGTCTGAAAGTGACATGAACCACGGAGTTAGCAAAAACACCAGGCGTGATTTCCGTCAGAACTGGAGATAACGAACACGCGTCACCACGAGAGTCCGTGAGTCTCTTCTCGCTCCGTTGATGCGCAGACAAAGAACTCCGGTCGCACTCTAAATTCGATATAGCTAGAAAAACATTTGCAGAGGTATTTGAACACCAGTCTCATTTAGGAGAGCAATCATGGCCACGGTAATTAGAAGCAAGATCTCTAACAAGCTGTCCAACGCGGCCACCACGGTCACCAATAAGTCGCAGGCGAAGGTGAGCGGGATGTTCGCCAAACTGGGCTTCCAGGCCGCCACCGATGAAGAGGGTTTGGGCTTCGCCGCCTGCGATGATCTGGACTATGACCACAGGCAGGGGCTTCAAATGGACATCCTTAAAAACGAGGGAATGGGTGGAGAGGGCGGCGGGGACACGGGGGGCGAGGGGACCGTCGAAGGGGACAGCCATTACCAGAGGGATGGAACGGGTCCGCCGCCCTCAGCGTCCAAAGACGGCGGATTTTGCTCCGAATTAGGCGGCTCGGACAAGCCAAGAATCACTGCTTGGGAGGCAGGATGGAACGTGACCAACGCGATCCAGGTGAGGAGCCATGGCCAGGCATTACGCGTCATGGCGATGCATATATATATATATATATATATATATATATATATATATATATATATATATATATATATAAATCACATTCTAAAGTTTTTAGCATTAATCAATATGGTTGTTATGGTTGTTAAATGTTACGTGAAAACGGTTTCCAATATATATATATATATATGTGTGTACGTTTTTAAAAGGGTTAGTCCTCTGTGAGGCAAAACGTTTTTTTAATGGCGTAGATTTTTCTTGAGCTGATGTCGTGTCACGGGGGATCTGATTAATATAAGGGACCTTTATCAACGAGTTGAGCTTTATAAAACAACATTCAACCAGTCCATTCAATATGCATTTCTATTCTGGCGTTTTGTGGGGTTTGCATGTCTTTTTTCGACGTGCGTAAACTGGAGAGCATTATGTGCCTTTTACATGTATACGACTGAAAATACCCGTTCCAAAATGTATGTATTCTACACGACGATGTTTAAAAGAATAACTTTTTGGATAATGGCAACAACAACAAACAAAAAAACGCATTCTTAAACGATAAAACCCCACATATTCAATCGTGCGCAGTTCAAGCTCTTAATATCAAAAGTGACGTCCTTGACGTGCCTATATGATTCATCCTGATGATGACGACACAATGAGGTGAGCGTGACTTTGCTCACAGCTGCATTTCTGATGCTCCATCACAACAGCTGATGATGGCGCATTCCCTCGACAGAACCCCGCGGAGCCTCTCAAATGCATGCAAGTCCATAAAAGAACAAAAACACTAAGGCCATTATGGGTATAACAGACTAGAATAGAACAGAACGCATGGGGCATTACGTTGTGAATTGTGTGAACTTCACTATGCTCATGGCTATCTATGTGCCGCACTTCGCGCTCCTCATGGGTCTGACGGGAAGCCTGACGGGCGCGGGTCTGTGCTTTCTCCTCCCCAGCTTATTTCATCTCAAGTTGTTGTGGAGAAAGCTCTTGTGGCATCAGGTCTTCTTCGACGTCGCCATATTCGTGATCGGGGGTATATGCAGCATCTCTGGCTTCATCCATTCCGTCGAGGGCCTCATCGAGGCGTACAAATACAACCTGCACGATTAGTCTGGAACCTGATGAGCGGCGGTAGTTTGGTGATAAGTGTTACGCATCCCACATATTGATAACCAAACCGATAAGTTCCCCCAGAAAGGATTAATAAATACTAAAGCATTTAACCCAGGCTCATTTAAATATTAACACACAATAAATACATCAGTTCAAATGCAGATCTTTACGCATCCATATGAGAAATGCCTTGGACAGCAGCGCGTTACACAAATAGATACCAGAGCAAACCTATATTTTTGTTGTTAAATGGTTTACAAGTGGATTGCTTTCAGCTTTGATTTGGCCCTGGAGTCGAGGAAGAAATCATTTAATCGCATCTGAGTGCAAGACATTCAGCTGAGCAAAGCAAAGCAATGCTGTGAGAGTGCAATACTCACTTAAGAACAAAAGCATCTAATTAATGACAGGCGACATGGCAATAAACACAAAATACATCGATGGGTTTTCCTTCATTCGATTTGAGGACGCATTTAATTCTTGATTATTATCTTTTGCATTTACTGAACCAAAACGGAGAGGGCCAGATAGAGAATAATAATGAAGGCAGCATACTGGACGGTGAATAGAAGTATTTTAACTATGCATTCTGATCGTGTGATGTCCATGCAGTATTAGAGATCTTCAGAAGAAACCCAGGGTTTATTCACACGCTGCGTTTCGATTGCTCTCAGCCAGAAAACACACAAAGACACTCCTATTTTTACAAGACATCGAATTACGAACAAGAAAGAGTCGCTGGACGTGAAGATAATGAAAAGGAGAACGAAAAATCCGTCGGAAACTCCAGAAGAAATCATGCAAAATAGCTACAAAGCAACCCAAATCACTAAAATTACATTTTGAGCATTGCGTTGTTTATCGGATATCAGATGTCGTAATTTAAAACTATTAATAAAGTTAATGTTCCCCTCGGTTGGATCGAAATCAAGGGACTTGCATAAGACATTTTATCATTTTGTGCAATCCAATGGGTGCCGTGGAAGTGTTATTAAACCGTATGTGTTGTGTTATTGTGGTTTAAAAGATGGAATGTATATCACAAAATCGTGAAAATGAATATATTGACGAATACAGCTGTTGTTTTGGTTTGGTGTGAAACACGTGCATCTGTTTCCCTTCAAAGCAGAATAAATCTACAAAACTAGAAATCAGCCGAGTCCAGCTCTCAGAGATTTATTCCAAACTAGACTGCACATCCATCAGAAACCGGTCCACAGCACACTAGATTACATCAGTTATACAGCTGCTGTTGGTAAATGGGGAAATGCATTTTCAAGAATCCGATTTTATGATAACTCCTGAAATAGAAAAATAAAAGCCATATTTGATGCATTCCAGCTGACTGCGCAAATATGCTATTGCATAACATGAAAATTAATGACCGCAGTTTATAAATGCATTGCATATCGTCCTATGGATATATTTATTATGTCGATTATAATGCAAAAAATAAATGCAACTTGTCATTCGTGTTTCATACGGAGCAACAGCCAATGACAGCATGAAGTGAACTCATACATAAATACTAGACAGGTTTTTGCTCTCGGCTCTGAAACATGCGAGCACTCAGTCAGACATCTGGACGGAGTGTTTCTCAGTTACTGGGGCTAATGTGGTTAAAATGAATTAATAAGAAAAATTAATAAAATACAGAGATGCGCATCATTATGGTTTGTGTGCGCACGAGCGCCTGAACAAAACAAAAGCATCAAAACGGGTCGACAGTTAAATTCTATGGGAAAGCATACATTTTACAAAATGCATGATATTTCAAAAACATTATTTACACAAAATATTGTAATTTAGATTTTATATATGCACAAAATAATTCTGCATGACAATGTGTTGCACCATTATAGTCCAAGGAGAAATTACCGTTTCTATATTAATGTAATGAATGTGTGGAAAATGTGGGTCGTGGTGCATTGTGGGAATTGGAGTTCAACCCGAGGAGCCATTTTCTGATTACTGGACCACCTGAGAAACTGTGACTGTAGCGCCACCTGGTGGCAACATGAGATACTGCCGAAAACAAGACGAGAGTGCTGTACATTAACACGCTCAACATTTCACAGGGTTAGAAGAGTACAGCCGCTACCGTTTGAGCTTCCCCACGCAGAACTTTTAGTTCACAAAGAGAGAAACGCCTTTTGAAGCATCGGAGACAAGATCGCTTTTTGCAAATGGACTGCCGTGCTAATGTGTTGTTAACAGTGTCTAACAACAACAAAAATGCCAGACTATAATATTTTGTTAAAAGATTGTTTGCAATGGACAGAAGGAACGGAAAATAAATAAATCTGCATTTACTCGCCCTCACTGTCGCTCCAAACCGTGTCAAGTAACACATTTGAGAGAGAGAATTAGCAGAATTTTCCATTAAGTCTAAGTCCAAAGCCTATCAAACTTTAAAACACTAAACTAAAATAACAATAGCAGAAATTCACGTAGTTATTCGCTGAGAATCCGCGCTTAAATCTCAAGCCTGCATATTCAAATTTACAAACGGTCACTTCGTGTGGCGCAAAGTTTGGTTATGCGAACGCGCCCACGAGATCCGATCGAAATACCTAACACTATTTACAAAGCATCAGCTCCTTTCCCAATCCTCCTTCCGTCCTCAACTAGCACAGCGCTGGTTAAAAACGGTTAACCTGATGTTTTTATCCTACTGATAATTGAGCATTATAAAAAATATCCATGCATTTAATAAAAATTAAAAAAAAAGGACATTCAACAGTATATTAAAGGAATTTATTCCCGAACACAAAAAGCGAAATACATTAAAAGTTCTATATTGAGATCCTCACAAACGTTCACATCTCTTTCATCATTCGGTTGCACTGTGGAGCTTCCGTCACTAGAACAAATCCCTCGTGTGTGTAAACATACCTGGCGATAAAGCTCATTCTGATTCAAGTACTGGTTAAACTTTACAATTTGTGTCTTAATTACATATTCACAAATGCATGTAGATTGTAGCATGTTAACAGCACAACACAAACAACAACAACAACAACAACATACAAATCATAAAGATATTCCAGCAGGGGCAGCAAAGATCACCCGACAAATTACTGCCACGTTCTGGTCTGAAGAGTGAGTCTGGAGCTCAGTCGCTGGCTGGCGTGTGAGTGGTGGGCTTCTTGGAGTTCTCCAGCACCCACGGGTGCTCCATGACGCCCCGGATGGGGAGCCGGTGCATGGGGTTGTGCTTCAGCAGTCTGTTGATCAGGTCTCTGCTGGCCTCGCTCACGTGAGCCGGATAGGTGAACTCCGCCTGGAGAGAAACAGACATGCTTTGAGGACGTATCAATCAACCAAGACTGAAACACGACAACAGTGAAAGCCTACGAGACATAATAAAGACACACTCACATCAGACAGACTGAAGAGTATCTACATTAAATAGGTTAAACAATTATTTAGAGAAATGTCTGCTGATCTTGACGACACATTTTCCAAAAGTAGAACATAATCTATTCAAATTAAATTAACTAGAGCCTCTGATCACTCGGTTTCTTTTAATGCGATTGTTTATCACATTAGGCATCTTTTACAGCATATATGTGACCCTGCAGCACAAAAGCAGTGTTGAGTCGCTGGGGGATATTTGTAGCAATAGCCAACAATACATTGTATGGGTCACAATTATACATTTCTCTTTTATGCCAAAAATCATTAGGATATTAAGTAAAGATCATGTTCCATGAAGATATTTTGTAAATGTCCTACCGTAAATATATTAAAACTTAATGTTTGATTAGTAATATGCATTGCTAAGAACTTCATTTGAACAACTTTAAAGATGATTTTCTCAATATTTAGATTTTTTTGCACCCTCAGATTCCAGATTTTCAAATATTGTCCTCTCCTAACAAACCGTACATCAATGTAAAGCTCATTTATTACATACATCTCAATTTTAAAAAATGTACACTTATGACTGGTTTTGTGGTCCACGGTCACATATTAACCTAGTTTAAGGTTAACTTCTACATATTAACATTTAATATTGTTAATTCTTTTTATGATACATTCAAAATGATATAGATCAATGAGGAACAGTGCATTTCTAAAATAACATTAACCTAAATTAATAACAGGTGTTAAAAACTTAATGCATTAATGTTATCAAATTAACTGCACTGTAAAGTGTTATCGCAATATTAACGCATAACGTTTAAAATTTATTTGCCAATGCATGCGTCTTCTCAGAAAGAAAGAAATGCTGAGCAGTCCTGCGTGAATTTTAATTATTTTGTAGATTAACATAATACTGAAAAGCACAGATCACCTTTTTCAACGTCTTAAACAGAAACAACAAAAGAAATTTATTACATACATCTCAATTTTAAAAAATGTACACTTATGACTGGTTTTGTGGTCCACGGTCACATATTAACCTAGTTTAAGGTTAACTTCTACATATTAACATTTAATATTGTTAATTCTTTTTATGATACATTCAAAATGATATAGATCAATGAGGAACAGTGCATTTCTAAAATAACATTAACCTAAATTAATAACAGGTGTTAAACTTAATGCATTAATGTTATCAAATTAACTGCACTGTAAAGTGTTATCGCAATATTAACGCATAACGTTTCAAATTTATTTGCCAATGCATGCGTCTTCTCAGAAAGAAAGAAATGCTGAGCAGTCCTGCGTGAATTTTAATTATTTTGTAGATTAACATAATACTGAAAAGCACAGATCACCTTTTTCAACGTCTTAAACAGAAACAACAAAAGAATAAAGATTCTCAACTTCGACGTTCTGATCATCTGTGCAAAGCTAGCGGAAGTTTATGAACATTTCACTTACTCTAGAAATCTTGCGGTACGTTTCTTCATGGCTCTTGGTTTCGAAAGGTGGACGGCCGACCAGAAACTCATAGCAGAGCACTCCGAGACTCCACAGATCCACCTTCTCGTCGTGCGTTTTGCCTTCAATCATCTCTGGAGGAAGGTAGTCCAGCGTACCACACAGCGTCGACCTCCTGACAGACACATGATAAACGCACGTTAACCCTAAACCAACACAGACAATATGCAGCACTTTAAAGGTAAACGAAACAAACACCGAGATGCACAACACCTGACTGACCTGGAGGACGGTGTGTGGACGGACCATCCGAAGTCTGCGATCTTCAGCTCTCCGTTGGCCCCCAGCAGCAGGTTTTCAGGTTTGATGTCTCTGTGAATCACGTTCTTTGAGTGGCAGTAGCTCAGAGCGTCTGCGAGCTCCATTATATACTGCAAGCAGACATTATTATGAGATGTTATCAGTCCTCATGCATGAATCGTGAGCATTCGAAACAGGAGCGCACGGTGGTTTCTTACCGTTGCACTTCGCTGGTCGTCGAACGTCCCGCAGCGCTGGAGCTCTCCATACAGCTCTCCTTTAGGAGCGAACTCCAGGATGAGATAAACGCGCGCCGCGTCGTGGAAATAACCGTAGAGACGCAGGATATTGGGGTGTCTGAAAAGAGACAGCGAGTTCAACACACACCGATCTTACTTTCTGAATGCATGCGTCTCAGCGTCTTAATGATTCCCAGCTACAATTCCAATAAAGCATTAAAAAAAAAAATTACATAAAGCGTTTAGATATCAAACATATATGTGACCCTGGAGTCTTAAGTCGCTGGGGGATATTTGTAGCAATAGCCAACAATACATTGTATGGGTCACAATTATACATTTCTCTTTTAGGCCAAAAATCATTAGGATATTAAGTAAAGATCATGTTCCATGAAGATATTTTGTAAATCTCCTACCGTAAATATATCAAAACTTAATGTTTGATTAGTAATATGCATTGCTAAGAACTTCATTTGAACAACTTTAAAGATGATTTTCTCAATATTTAGATTTTTTTGCACCCTCAGATTCCAGATTTTCAAATATTGTGCTATCCTAACAAACCATACATCAATGGAAAGCTCATTTATTCAGCTTTCAGATATAATTAAGTCAGATATAACACTTAAGTCTGGTTTTGTGGTCCAGGGTCACATTTATTATTTTTGGCAGAACACTGTTGCAGCTGAATACCATGAACAAAAATCAGCGGCCTAAAAACATTTACAAGGGACTTTTACTGTGGTGTTTTTGTTAAAACCGTAGACTAACTAATATTGATTTCAAACATTAAAAATGTTTGAACAATAAGAACAAATGAGCGAATTAGCAATAGCAGCAGTAAATACAACCAAACAAAGTTCAGGTACAGAAATTTTTATATAATCAAATGTAAAATAGGTTTCTTTTAATAAATAAAATATAGATTAATTCTTAAAGTTACAAAAGTTATTCAGGGAAGATCAATAAATGATTGAAATGTGTCCTCTGGTTCTCCGAAACGGACGTGCTCTGACCGCAGCAGCTTCCGTTGACTAAGCTAAACATGCTTAAATTAAAATTTGTTTTATCATTCAAAACGTTTCCCGTAGACTAACTAATATTGATTTCAAACATTAAAAATGTTTGAACAATAAGAACAAATGAGCGAATTAGCAATAGCAGCAGTAAATACAACCAAACAAAGTTCAGGTACAGAAATTTTAATATAATCAAATGTAAAATAGGTTTCTTTTAATAAATAAAATATAGATTAATTCTTAAAGTTACAAAAGTTATTCAGGGAAGATCAATAAATGATTGAAATGTGTCCTCTGGTTCTCCGAAGCGGACGTGCTCTGACCGCAGCAGCTTCCGTTGACTAAGCTAAACATGCTTAAATTAAAATTTGTTTTATCATTCAAAACGTTTCTATGTTCTGTTTACTCAGTTACAGCTATAATAGCCATGCCTTTGTCCATATGAGGGATTTCCTGGAGGGTCATGAGTGCTCTGCTTCTGTGACTGGAAACCTATCTAACGACTCGGGGGTGATAAAAACAGGCAGCTGGTGAGAACTTGTACCTGAGATGTGACTGGATCTCCACCTCTCTCCGCAGCTGGTGCTCCACTCCGGCTTTCTCCAGCTGCTTTTTGAACAGCACCTTGAGCGCCAGGATGAACTTGGTCTGACGTTCCCGGGCCAGATACACGCTCCCAAACTTGCCTTTGCCCAGAGCTCGGCCAATGTCGAAATTCTCTAAACTCCACGCTTTCCTAGAGACGAGAAAAAACACATTATATTTCTTATCACCCGACGCCTGTGAGTTCATGCACCAATTCGGATGCGTTTATTACAGAGGTGGCGGAGTTTTCTAGACGTGATGTTGAAACTTGTATTAGTGTTAGGGCTGCTCGATTATGGCAAAAATCATAATCACGATTATTTTGGCCAATATTGTAAACACGATTAAGAGGGGGCCATATGACCAAAACGTTATACGAGTGATTTATTTAAAGATAGTGATACATATCAAATTTTCATATTTCCTGTAAATAAGGATGCTATGACATCTACATGGTAGAGACCAGCGGAATATCAAACAAACAAACAAACAAACAAAAAGTCCTCAATTATTGAAAATAATTAAACTGTCCGTAATAAAAAAAGCAAAGGACAAATGCTATAGAATAAAAAGATACAAATGAAACAAACTGTGCTTTAATGCTTTTTATGCAAGTCTCGAACAGCCTACTACAGAAATGAATAATCAAACGTAAAATAAAACGGCATAGTCTTCACTGTAAGAAATAAACTTTCTTTGTTTCTTATTAAAGCTACAGAAGTCCTTCACTCGAGAGCAGTGTGTGATTTTGAATTTGTCTTTTGTTGTTTGGTTAATATGAAGCACACAGTCGCAGCAGGAATATTAGGCTGCTGTCACTTTAAGAGCTGCACGGATCCAATTTACCGTATTTTCATTCTTAACTCTTTACGTTCATTTAGTACATGACCGACGAAGGTATACATGAATAATCACTAAGCGTGTAATAGTCATTTTTGCGTGTATTTGACCTTTTAGGCGCACACCTTGAGCTAAAAGATGACTTTACAGTCCGTCGCTGAGCGCATATATCTTCCTGAGGAGCAGCGCAAGTTCTCTTTCACGCTTTTAAAAACATGAATAAATATACTTCTATAAATCAAGCACGTCCCATTTTGCAAAAGTCACGTTACATGATTTGCACGTGAAATTGGGCTTTTATTGGAGGAACGAAAGCGCAGCGCTGGAAAAGGAGGCGGAATAGTAGTTTTATCTCGATTATTGTATTTTAATAATCGTTGGAGGCCGAAATCGAAATCAATTAATTGCACAGCCCTAATTAGTATCATTTTAAATTATTATAAAAACATTGATTTTATAAAACAACCCAATAACACTTGCAGTCGTACAGATATTTGGAGAAAAAAACCTGCTCCGTGTGATATTAACTATATCAGTCAAAAGTCATATTTGCCCCCTTATCTTGAATTTCGGGGAATTCTAAAAGTATTTTAATAGACTAAATCAGGCAGTGAAAGCGTGAACTCTAAATGCACACGCGCAGTAGTGTAACCTACATCTCAGTGTGCGCGCGCGCTCTGGGGGTGTCTTTGCGATATACTCGATAACGTCAAATCACATATCGTTTAAACAACAACTACGATATACAACAATTAAGCGTGAATACCTCAATCAACATCATAGAAAATATCAAATGTAAAAGCCTTACTTGGCAGTATTGGTTGTTCCAGTGGAAGGAGTTTCTGGAAAGCAACAGAAAGAATGATTATAATGTTCTCAGTGTGACGTGATGTTATAAGATCAGACGTGTCCGCAGAAGTCGCGCTTACGCTGAGGTTTGTCCTGGTTGCTGGGTTCAGTAGTTCTTGAAGGCTCAGCTACAGGCACTGGCTCTGGCTGCGGTTTGCTCGGTGTTGTTGCTTTGAGTTGATGTGGATTGACGTTCTGGTCTCCGGGACACGTGGGTTTCACAGGAACTGGGACTCCGACGGGCTTCTGCGGTCCCTGTGCCATGCGGAGAACACGTGTGTGAGGCGTCGACACGGGCTTCTGACCGCTCTGGGTCACCGGAACTCTCTTGGGTCCACCGACAGAAACCTGCAGAACACGAGCACAACATACATGCATCAAAAACAGTGTTTTGTAAAAAATGAATCACTGTAATAACAGTGTTGTCGAAAGACCCGGTACTTCGGTACCAAGTCGGTACAAAAAAAATGGATTTGCATTATGGATGTCGTTTTCATTTCATCTTGCCTGTAATGTTACATTACAGCCGTTACCGGGGAAACCGCTATCTCTGCCGCTCTACAAGCGCCTCCTGCTGGCAGAGAAGGAGTTTGCATTTATATTCCGCCACAAATAGAGTGCAAGTCTGTGTGAAACACCGCTTCTGTTATGAATATTACTCAATATTTTAATTAGAATGTCGGATTGAAATGAACATCGCTGTTATTTATTTATTTAGCAGATGCTTTTATCCAAAGCGACTTACAAATGAGGACAATAGAAGCAATCAAACTAACAAAAGAGCAACAATATATAAGTGCAAATGACAAGTTTAGCCTAACGCAGTACATGTAGCAAGGTGTGTGTATACACTCACACACTCTCTCACACACACTCACACTCTCACACACTCACACACTCTCTCACACTCACACACACTCACTCACACACACTCACACACACTCACACACACCGCTTCTGTTATGAATATTACTCAATATTTTAATTAGAATGTCGGATTGAAATGAACATCGCTGTTATTTATTTATTTAGCAGATGCTTTTATCCAAAGCGACTTACAAATGAGGACAATAGAAGCAATCAAACCAACAAAAGAGCAATAATATATAAGTGCAAATGACAAGTTTAGCCTAACGCAGTACATGTAGCAAGGTGTGTGTGTATACACACACACTCACTCTCACACACACACACACTCACTCTCACACACACACTCACACACTCACACTCACACACTCACACACTCTCTCTCACACAGAAAAACAAGTAGATAGAATAGAAAGCTAGTGTTTTTTGTTTTGTTTTTTTAAATAAAAAAAATGATAAATATAGATAAAATAGAATTAAAATAGAATAAGAAAGTGCTAGAGTTAGAGGGTCAAATAAAGGTTA